CAAACAGCTTGTTTATTTCTTTTATTTAAATTTCAAATGCATTCTTAGTTAGTGTGTCCACTGTAAATGTTGCGAGTGTGGAACTAGCGGCGCGGACTCAGGTGCTGTTCTCCGTCATTAAAGTAGGCGGATTACTGGTGATTATCGGCGGAGGAATATACCAACTAGTAATAGGTTTGTTGGAGTTTCTGATGTATACTTTGTAATCTCTCTCAGCCTCTCTCTTTCAGAACTTTTTGAGGAAGTCAAATGTGTATTGAAAATGTAACTTTTAGTTAGAAGAGAGGCAGATGGACATGCATTGTCCAAATTAAATTTTATACCATGCAAAATTTACATATTCATGTATAAAGTTAAAATCCTTTTTCCACTTATATGTTTTGTTCGCAATATGTTAAAAGACAACTCTGATAGAAGATTCAAATGTTTTGAATAGGAAATTTAGGCATACTTGACTCAGGTTTTGAGGGATCCACAACAGAACTAAGCGGATTTGCTGTGGCACTATACAGCGGTTTGTGGGCGTACGGTGGATGGTACGTCACAGTATTTTCAGTACTTTGATTAAATCATATATAAAAATATCAAGGGTTTCATCTTTATTTCCTAAACGCTATATATGTAGGATTTTATGCCCCTGGATTTAAAGATCCCGGGGGTATATTGTTTTTGTCCTGTCTGTCTGTTTTTTTGTCTGTCGTCAACTTAGCTGTAACCTAGTCCATAACTACTAGTATTGAGTGGGCGGGTTTATGGCCTTCATATATCTCAGTTGTATTCCTTGTGTTAAGACCTTTCTTTGGTATTAACAAATTTGACCTCTTAACCTTGGAGTTTGACCGACTTTTACCAAAAAATACCACACTTTAACCTTGGCCATAAAGGATGTATTCACTATGACAAAAGAATTGACCTATAGGAGGGAACAATTTCCCGGAAAAAGTGACATTAAAAAAAGTAATCTTTATTTGTTGTTTTCTACCGTACATATGTCTAAATTTTTCAAATTTGTATTTTATACCTAATACTATTATTTACATCTTTACAATGAACCTCCAAAGTTGGCCAAAACACCATTTTGTCCGTTAAAGCGTTGATTTTTGCATGTACTTTGGCCTAGAAGTCCTTCAGGACAGGCTTGCCCATAAATAAAACTATGATATTTTGATAGGTTGGGAGGTAAAGAATAATTTAAGATAGGATTTTTTTAGGGGCACCCCTGCCCTAGGGTCGAAATTCACAAAAAACCTACAAAAAATAAGGAAACCTGATTTTGATAATCTACTTAAAATTTATGCTATCATATGTTTTATAGTCAGACTAGCTCAGTTGATGTATGTGCTAACTACATGTATTACACTGTACATGATTTCTTTTTAAAGTCGGGGGTTCTAATCCACCTGGTACCACACTTTTAAAGTTTTAATTTTTCGCCTTTTCAAAGACAATTTTATTATTTTTTTTATAGACTTGTACATTTTCTTTCAATTATCCATTCTTTATGCATGTCCATTCTTGATATAAGAAACACTAAAGAGAGATCAGATCGTAACAATCCAATGTACTGTTGTCAGTCAGGCGGAACAATACAATGAAGTGCATTGAAGTGGTAAAATTCTCCGTTTGGATGAAAAGTTCTGAGTCATGTTTTGAACGTCAATTATAACATAATGACACGCCCATATTTTTAGAAACGAGAAAGTAATATTCGTCGTAGTTTTAGGACATCCCATTCTTCGCGACAAGCATCATGAGTTACACTGAAATGGAGCTTTAAAAAAAATAGAAGAGGGAGTTAGATACTCCCCGCTTCTGTTAAACACAAATTGCAACGAATATGTACATATTTTTGAACTTATCATGTCTATTGAAGTTACCACAACACATGTTTTGGTCGAACACGTGTTTACTCGGTGTTTATTTAGATCCTCAATTTGATTGGCTATTATATTTATGGAAAACCTGTTCTACAGGTATTTGAAGAAACAACTTGACCGTTTTATCAATTTCTAAAGAAATGGGCGTGTCAAAAGATGACAATAAACACTCTAAATATAGCTCAAAACGTTCCATTCGAACGGAAAATTTTACCACTTCAATGCGCTTCATTGTATAAGCACACTTTCTCTAAGGACAAGAATAACTCACTCTGTGTTACTCGATACAGGTATTCTTTGCAGCATTAAGCTGCGATGAATTTCAATTGTATATATTCATTAGAGTTTAATCACATTGAGTTTGGCTACATACATAAGTAACTGTTTTCCCTTGGATTTCATTTAGGCCTTTATAATTTGCACACATTAATGGCATGTTTTATTATATCCACGGATAAATAGCCTAGACATAAAAAATAGAATTTTAGAGACAGTAGACATTACCATTATGCACAGTGAGAAGTAAAGAAAACTATCAGTTATTACATTTGGAGATAACAAACTCAGAAAATCAATGAAAGGGTTCCTCTTACCTCTACTCAGTCACTGAAATAAAGATTTTGAAAAACAAATTGTTATTATATGTATTCAGCCTAATGTCATCAATCAGAACGGAAATCAACAAGCTTTTTGTAAAGAATAAAGCCAAGCCCGGTCCTATAGGTCAGATCCCTATTTAAAATGAAGTGATCCTTTTGAACAGTTGGAGCAAGGGCTTTCATACTTCAGTATGTATTTATTGTGACAAGACCTTTTAGCTGGTATAAATATTTTTGACCTTGACCAAAGAGTTTGACCCACTTTTTAAAAACTTTAACCTTGGTCATAACTTTTGAACAGTTAAAACTAGGGCTTTCATATTTCACAGGTATTCCTTGAAACAAGATCTTCCTTTGGGTACCCACACTTTTGACCTTGACCTTTGCAGTTTGACATGCATTTGAGAGATTTCAACCCTCGCCATAAGCTATCATATAGGGGCATCAGTGTTTCACAAACACATCTTGTTTTTTTCAGTTTAAAGTCTCCAACCATTTTCGTTTCATGATAAAATTCAAGATAAGGTCTTCATTGTTGCCCATCGGTTTGCAATGCCTCTCCAAAACATCAGTGAACTTGAAAAAAAAAAAAAACGAGGCATGTGTAGAAGCTTTTGGAGAAGTTTTATCATTGTCTCTGGCATTAAATTATATGATAAATCAGTGTATCTTTATTATTTAATCGATATGTATTACGCTTTCAGGGGAAATCTTAATTATGCTGTAGAAGAATTGAAAAAACCAAATAGGTAAGTATATCCCTTTGATATATATTCTTCTGTGCTCCATGGCGTTGTTGTCGCAGTTATAAAGCATCTAATATCCCTAGCAAGAGATCAAAGGTCGAAGAGATTGGAAGAGATGAGAACTTTTTTGTCATTTGATTTTCCATCTGCTCCAGGAACCTGCCACTATCAATAGGCCTGTCCATGCTGATTGTGGTCTTTGTTTACATGCTTGTCAATGTCTCCTACTTTACACTGCTCTCCAAAGACGAGTTTCTGTCTACCTGGGCGGTGGGCGTGGTGAGTATCGAGCTATTAGCATTACTTGTTTTTATGCAGAGCACCTACGAACGAGATCTTGGATTGTGAGTCACTCAGCTTACCCAACGAATTCCTGGGTTCTGAGTGCGAACACAACAAATTCCTGGGTTGCGAGTGCTAACTCAAATAGTCCCGGGGTTGTAAGTGCTAGCGCAAAGAATTCCTTGGTCGTGCGTGCTTCCTCAAGCAGTGCGTACTCAACGAATTAAACTTCCTTGGTTGTTAGTGCTAACTCAACTACTAGTAATTCCTTGATTGTGAGTGATAACTCAAACTCATTTCTTGGTTTTAAGTGCAGCTGGTCGGTTATTAATTTTTTCTTGTTCGAAGCTATAAGAATATGGCGAGTCCGACAATTGATTCACTATCCTCGTCATCTCTGAGTGTATTATGTCTGCTCCATGTTTAAAGTTATAAAAAATTATCAGAGAAATTTAAAGAGAGATTTTATCGATAAAGATAGAAAATACTCGTATATTAAAATCTAGTTTATGTAATTCGTCCAAAGAGGCGGGTTACCTGCCGCTTCTAACGATACATTTGTTCCAGGTAATATGTTTCTTTGTATTTATTAATACAATTTTAGTTCTTTGATTGTGAGCGTGGTCTTATCTTAATTCAGTCGAATTCGCCTGAATGAGTTTTACTTTTCTTACATTTTTTTTATTTTACATAAGACTTGGGCAGAGAAAATGTTTGGGAAAGAGGGTGCCATTTTTGTTCCCATTATTGTAGCTTGCTCAGTGTTTGGGTCAGCAAATGGAGGTGCTTTTGTGGGTTCAAGGTTCGTTTTCAAACAGATATATACCTGAGAATATATATTTAATAAATACATATTCTGAGGTATATACCAGTATGTATTTAATTTTATTATAATTTATATATCTCAGTCACAAGCAAACAGACCAGAAATGAAATGATTTATTTATCACAAATTGTACTGATATCCCTATAACATTAAAATTAAGTCATACTCTGCTAGGATATTTACCATTAAGACTTTAAAACATCATTGGCTTTTTAAGGGTTATTTTTGCTGCAGCCAGGGACCAGAATTTCCCGGAAGTGTTTTGCTACCTTAATGTTCATTCTCTGATCCCGATTCCTTCAGTTATCTTCATGGTGAGTACATATATCACTGTTATTATTTGAGCATCGTGTGAGTAAAACTTTCCTGAGAAGAAAGAAGAGAATTAGAAAAATTCAATATGAAATCATTCTTTTGAGAATAAAAGAAAAATCCTCGGATTATTTATTTTAAGAACCCTTTCTACACTGCACACTCAATAGCTCTGATTTTATGGTATTTTTGCAGTTAGAGTGATTCACAATATGTAATCAATTTAAGTATTCTTAAAATTTAAAAGGCCAAGATAAATTAATTAGAAATGTTATTAACATGTACTTTCTCCGTGCAAGTAAACAACAGTGATTTCTATTCTCTGATACTGTGTTGTGATTGATTATTTTTCCTGGGATAAATGCCATGTACTGTATAATGAAAATTAATTAAAGAAGCTAAATATTAACACCTTTATAGAATATATTTTCTCAATGTCCAAAAAAAAAAAAAAAAAAAAACATTTCGCACTGGTATAGAGAGGGTCCTTAAACATATTTTCGTTTTATGACAAGAATATTAAGATGGACACTGTTGTTATAATTTGAGTTAACGTTTATCTGAAAAGAAAAATATATAATTAATGAGAAAAACCTCCTTATGCACATCGTTCAATGTGCTTGATTAAGTAAATAAGTCTTATGATTTAATATCACATAGTTACTGACCAAGTGACCTTAAACTAAACCCGCGAACTTAATAAATTTTGATTTGCATATTTTGAACAAAAAATGGAATATAATTAACTAACATTTCTTCTAATACAACTCCACTTAATCTGAACATGACTCGTAAAAAGGCATTAGGTCATTTCGATAATACTACGATATCAGCACCTGGGTATACAATTCGCATTCATTACACCCGACTGCATGCATTATGGCCATGGGTATCGGCGCGGAATGGCGACCCGTGTTCGTGCTGGTTATCTTGTAACCGCCAATGCCCTGTACAACTATTGTTAGTTTCTTTGGTATCTTACTCTGCTGCAATAGAAGTACAGTTATTTTTGTCGATATATATCGAGTGCTGTATGGCATATACGTTTTTCTACAGGCTGATAATGAATGTGACTAAGTGCGTGGCTTTATATAAGGGCCCTAAGATATAGCAAGTGACAATCGAATATGGCGGACAAAATTCCTTCTACGAATCCTGTTCACTTTAAACATTCTTGTAGTCTGTATACATACTGAAGTCTGATCTTGTAGATGTTTTGTGTAATCCCATACAGCACTGACCTTTCCTCTTAACCATGCATTCTAGACACTGATGGCGCTGTTATACCTTGTGTTGCCTGGTAACGTCGGGTCTATGATTAACCTGACTGGATTCATAGCCTGGGGCACCTGGGGGCTGGTCATGGCGGCCCACATCATCTTCAAGTTCAAGGGGGACACGAAGGACATTCCACGGAGCGTCAGGGTAGGAACAAAGTAGATCTCCATATAAATTCTGACACCGTTTTAAACAGCAGTGTGAAAAAGGTGCTTCTATATCTGTGTGATGCGGCGTGTTTTTAAATAATTAAACGAACATAAAATTTAACCTACTATACGCTGGGATAAAATTATAGTCATATATATTTACAGCTATCATTTCGCCCATTTGTGTCTATTTTTGCAGTAGATATATCAAGTTGAATTTTTTTGCGAATAACAGCGATCCCTTAACTTAATATTAAATGTATGTTGCTTAAAACAGGCGCTTATTTTCTATTCAAAGTTATTGAAATGAATTTTCCACTGAAACGGACTTGTTTTTTTATCTGTATCATCTACTGGTAAGCGAAAAGAAATTGTAAATCTGTCTGTTCGTCCGTCTGTGAACACTTTTTTTCTTCCCTACACTTAAGGTCTGATTTCAGTATTTGGTACACACACTACACTGTAACACATAATTCTATTTCAAGGCTATTGATTTCAGAGGTGTTGTTATTGTTACTAAAAATACATTTTAAAAAACAAGTAGACTAGAGGATAGGCTTGTCACATAATATGAAGAATTAATTAACTCCTACGGACTAATATGTGTTTAATAGCGAAGTTTACAAAAAATCACCAGTTAGCTTGCAAGTTTCAATCCCTAATTGATTAAAGTAGTGTGGCTTGTTTATAGAGTAAAACGCATTGTATAAGAATTTCTTTTGTTTGTCAAATATTACTTGTTACATTTCTTTTCAATGAAATCAGACTAAAACTCTAGGAGGAATAGTTAAAATTTTCACAGAAATTCTATTTTTAGTAACAGTTACAATGTCTGACCTAAAATTTGAATCTTCTTGTCAATAACTTTAATCATGGTTTTAGATATTATGGATTTCATACTTCACAGGTGTATTCCTTGTGATAGGATCTTTCTCTTTTTGGTATTTAACCTCTTGACCTTGACATTTGACCCACTTTTCAAAAAAAGTTTATCCTCGATCACTTTGTACTAAGACTTTCACACTTCACAGATCCAAGAACTTCATTTTAATTGTATTCCACAATTTTGACCTTGAAGTTTTATTTTTGCAGGAAAAAAATTAAATCTTGTCCATATCTTTTGAAAAGTTGCAGGTGCTAGGGCTTTTATATTTCACCTGTGTATTTTTGTGGGAAGACATTCCCCTGAATATCATTAATTTGACCTTTGACACTAGAGTTTGACATACTTTTAAAAAAAATTTAACCCTGGCCACAACTTTTGAATGATTGGTTGCTGGGTTTCCAAACTATTTTGTAGGTTCCTATTCTGGTCTCTATGGTTGTGCTACTGTTTAAGTATTTGTTTTTATTTTGTAGGTTCCTATTCTGGTCTCTATGGTTGTGCTACTGTTGAGGTATTTGTTTCTATTTTGTAGGTTCCTATTCTGGTCTCTATGGTTGTGCTAATGTTGTGACATTTGTTTTTATTTTGTAGGTTCCTATTCTGGTCTCTATGGTTGTGCTACTGTTGAGGTATTTGTTTTTATTTTGTAGGTTCCTATTCTGGTCTCTATGGTTGTGCTACTGTTTAAGTATTTGTTTCTATTTTGTAGGTTCCTATTCTCGTCTCTATGGTTGTGCTACTGTTGAGGTATTTGTTTCTATTTTGTAGGTTCCATATTCTGGTCTCTATGGTTGTGCTAATGTTGTGACATTTGTTTTTATTTTGTAGGTTCCATATTCTGGTCTCTATGGTTGTGCTAATGTTGTGACATTTGTTTTTATTTTGTAGGTTCATATTCTGGTCTCTATGGTTGTGCTAATGTTGAGATTTTTTTTCTCTATTTTGTAGGTTCCTATTCTGATCTCATTTGTTGTGCTACTGTTGTAACATTTGTTTTTATTTTGTAGGTTCCTATTCTGGTCTCTATGGTTGTACTACTGTTGTGTGTTTATCTGGTGGTTGCTCCGTTTTTGGATGGTCTGAAGATGGAGTACATTTTTGCTTTCTCTGTCCTTGCTGTTGGTGTTCTTTTATACTTTCCCTTTATCTACCTTCACCTCTCCATTCCAGGAAGTGGTAAGTTTCAATAATTCTTATGTCACCTTGACCTGACCTCATGTCTTTACCTCTGAGGACATCCTCAAGTCATAGTAAAATTATTTTTGCGAGTTTTTATTTTGACCCTGGAGGATAAGTTCCTTTAAGGAACATAGTACCCATCTGAATCACATTATTTACCTGCCAAAAAATGTACAAATTGTCCCAAAACTTTAAAATACATCTAAGAAAAATAAATCTTTATTATATTGTGCTAGCAGAAAAAAATTAATTGAAACATGTATATATTTTACCTTTTATAAACCTTATCACTAGTTCTGGGACTTACATAAGCTCAATCTGCTACATTGCAAGAAATTTTTCATTATTGTAAAAAAAAAAAAAAATCATTTTTAGCAATATCAATTAAAATGTAAAAGTTGCATGTATTTTAAAACATCATTTTGCAAATATAATGTGTATTAAAACTCATGATTTATTTCAAATAATTGAATGCTATGAAATAAATAAATTCAAAAATATGAACAAAAACTTAATTAATACCATTAGAAAAAGGGTAACAAAAGTAACCTGACACTATAAAGAATTTAGAGTTCTTATGATTCAGATTTTTATACTATTCAATTAAAATGGAAAAAATAGAAATATGACAGAGGAAATTCGGACTGTAATAATAAGTTTATGGCTCAAACTCTAATCACTTATTCATATGAAGCAATGCTGTTCCGTTACTATAATATTTGATTAGTTAAAGAGTTTTATTGCTAGTGATACAATGTGATATTTTGTGGGTAAAGGAAAAACTGGCCATTGTGTGAAAAATCAGAAATACCCAGGAGCCAGTAGCATGAAAAGTGGGTCATTGACCTACTTATTTGAAATTGAAATTTAACACAAGAATCATAGGTGTACAATGTGCAGTAGGTGGTTTCTTGTTCTTATCAGTGGAATTTTTTTGTCATCTGAGTACAAGTATGTATACCTTAAGGTGATTTCAATGAACAAAATGGCCCACAGGCTTCATCCTTTTTAATTTTTGTCCTTATTTCTTGCGATTCCATATTTTTCAATCCCCTTTTGTTCTTAGACGAAAATAACTAGGTAAACTGACCTTAATATACTCGTGATAACTTTTTTTTTTCAGAATGTTAACGAGATCACAGTCATTAATTTAACACATTCTGTAATCTTAACCAATTGAAATATTCCCTTTGAATATGGTCATGTTTCCAACAGAGATAGTATAGTAGAGCAGTCTTTAAAAAATTGCCATTTTACAGTTAATTTTATTTTTCACCTAATTTTGACTCTGCATTTAATAAAATTTGTCAATCTTTTATTTATTTCTTCATATGACATGAATTTATTGACTTCATTAAAATACTCTAGACACTCCCTTATATTTTACTGACCTTATTTAATCTATTTTTAGGAATCTTGTATGGATTTATGCAGCTATTTCTAGAAGTTTCACCTCCCTCCCACCTGGAGTAATACATGTACTGTCTCATCCAACCCTACTTAACTAACAGAATGATACTCAACTCCACAGCAAGGAGAAAACCACTCAGTCACATTCCAGTAAGCTATAAACCAACAAATACAGGGTTTAAAAGACTAACTAATTACCTCAGTAAAAGTAAGGTAATTAAGTGCATTTAATTAAAGTTAATACATGTAGTCTGTATAAATGAAAGAAACTAGGAGATTATGACATCATAGTATCTGGTTCATAGTCAAGTTTATGACTTGTTTTTAGGCTACCTGATTCAGGTGACCTGAACTATTACAAATACTCTGAGTAATTTGTAACCTTTATGCATTTATTTTCAACCTCCTTTTTGAAATAGCAGAAAAAAATATCAATTGAAAAATTCCACTATTAATGTAATTTTTTGTTACTAACATAATTGCTATTTGAGGACCCAATTGGAAATAAGCTTTTTTAAAAGGCTTTTATTGGCTATCCTTAGGTAATACATGTACCGATCATCTGTATGTCCTGTAACTTATGTAATAACTAGTGCTAATTGTAACGGGGACCATTACAGATGTTCCCCAAACGCTCCCCAACTCCCTTTTGGTGCCATATTCCTTGTGAGCTTCATTAAATAAGACAAACTCTATGCATTTGAGACTTTAACAACGTTTACCCAGAAGTGTACCAAGTCCATTCAAATTCTAGCATTGCACGCGTGCACGTGAATGCATGTGCGTAATGACCATATCATCTTGTCTACACAATCTTTATATTTTAATATACTAAATATTAAAGTATTTAATCCAAAAGTATGAAAAAAAAATACACTCATTCAAGTGTATTTTTGATTTTGCTCATTTCACGTGCACGCACGTGCATACATGAGCATGGTGACCATACCTTCTTGTAGAAGTCCATTACATCTATCTATGTTCTAAATCCCACCCCGTTTGATTGAAAACCAAGGGTGTTATAGCTGTTTCAAGTTCAGCCAATCAGATTACAGCGCACGTACACACACGTGTACGCATGTGCATGGTGACCATACCTTCTTGTAGAAGTCCAATATATCTATCTATGTTCCAAATCCCATCCTGTCTGGTTGAAAACCAAGGGAGTTATAGCTATTTAAAGTTTAAGCCAATCAGATTGCAGCGCACGTGCATGCACGTGTTTTCATGATAATTTCTATATATCATGTTGTAGGATATCCTAATGCATGGCTATGTTCAAAATCTCAAAGGATTTCATCAAAAAACAAGAAAGATATTGAAACCTTAGTTTCAGCCAATCAGAGCGAAGCGCACGTGCATCCGCATGAGATCTTGCTATTTTGACCATGTCATATTGTCTATGCTACTAATATATCCTTATATTATGAGTTTCAAAGCATTTCATCAAGAATGTAAAAAGTTACGCCTATATCAATTAAATCGGTCATTTCACGTGTTGCACGTGCACGCTCTTGCAAGCACGTGCGCGCAAAATGACCTTCGTTCCGCAAATCTACATAATATGCCTACTGACCCTAAAAAGGTTTTACCTAAGTGGGATGTGTAGTTTACAAGATCACTCCCGGACAAAAAAGTACCCAGGAAGAAGAAGAAGAACAAGAGGCCCAAGGGCCTTGAATCGCTCTTCTGATAAATTGTACAATCTATCACTTCTATTTGAAGCCTCTAACCTTAAGTATCCTAAGACCCAAGTTGCATCAACTGACAAAGTTTGATGATTCTTAGCCAATAATGACTGAAAATATTTTTAATAATAAAGCTATAAAAAACCTTAAGTACATCACAGTGACCTAAATTAAGATTGAAGTTTTCTGAGGACTCAAGATGCATTAATAAACAAAGATTGAAGATTCTAAGCAAATAAGTATTTGAGATATTTAAAAGTAGGTCAATGTGACCTACTTTTTTGTCTACATTCTTTGAAAACCCAAGGTACATCAACTGACAAAGTTTGATGATTCTAAGCCAAAAAGTACCTGAGATATTCAAAAGTAGGTCACCATGACCTACTTTTTCATCGACATTCTCTAAAAACCAAAGATGCATCAACAAACAAAGTTTAGTGATTCTAAACCAGTTAGTACCATAGATACTTAAATAAAGCCATAAAATGTCGAAAGTAGGTCACAGTGACCTACTTTTTTAACATCATTCTCCGAAAACCCAAGATGCATCAACTCACAAAGTTTGATGATTCTAAGCCAATAAATACCTAAGATACTAAAATATAGCCATAAAATATTTAAACTAGGTCATCGTGACCTATAATTTGGTCGACATTTTTCAAAGTCACAAGATGCATCTGCTGACCAAGTTTGATGATCCTAGGTCTGAAGGTAATCAAAATATGCCTTTTAAACAATTCGAAAACAAATGCCCACAAAATTCAAAAAGTAGGTCACAGTGACCTACTTTTTCATAAATATGTTTTAAGGTCCCAAGATGCATCACTTAAAAAGATTTGATGATTCTAAACCTCTCAGTGTCTGAAATAATTGGATTAAATGTTTTAAGTCATAAAGTTCAAAAAGTAGGTCACGGTGACCTACTTTTAAGCTGACTTTGTTCAAGGACCCAAGATCATCAACTGACAAAGTTTGATGATCATAGGCCTTAAAGTGCCCGAAATATGCCTTCAAATCAATTTGAAAACAAATGCCCACAAAATTTAAAAGTAGGTCACCGTGACCTACCTTTGAGTTAACATGATGTAAAGTCCTGAGATGCATCAACTTACAAGATTTGATGATCCTAGTCCTAATAGTAAGCAAAATATAAACGTTTTTATTATTTGTAAATTTAGGTCAACTTTGAAGTGACCTTGAGACCACGCCCTTTGCCCGAGGGTCATGCCTTGAACAATTTTTAATCTTCAACATATCGTGATCCTTGTATGTAAGTTTGGTGAAAATCTGCCCTCTGGTTCTGGAGGAGAAGATTTTTTAGCAACCAGCACTTTTGGTTTTGTTTTCCTGATTATCTCCCCTTGTTTAAGGGTCGCAACCCTTATTTTAGTATAAAGGGTAGCCCTTGGGCCAAGGATACCCTGTGACAAATTTGACACTGATTGGCCAAGGGGTTCTTGAGTTATGGCCCATATTCTAAAAAGTTAACGCACACCGCACAAATGGCCATAGCATTAGCTCTTTGAGCCATTGGCTCAGAAGAGCTAAAAATAATAATAATAAGAAATAAAAACAATATGTTCCCCAACTTCGTTTGGGGAACATAATAATTACATGTATATGCTCTTAGATCCTTATTTATTAGCATAGTGCTAATATAATGTGTGTTTTTTATCAGTAGGCAAATCTGTAATGTTTAAAATGTGAATCATGACATTCTGTGGTATTTTTACCTGAATAAAATGAAATGAAGCATTTACAAATGAAGTTAAACAAAAACTTGTGCATTTCAATCTCCCCTATTAATGAAACCTGTAGGATGTGGCCAAAACCATCATAGTCAACACCATCTTCAAGAGTCTGCAATAGTGCTAAATGGTACAGTTTGCCTGCTAGAATTTTGTGACAAAAGCACAATTACAGGCGTTGCATGTCAAACTTATCACAAGCCTGATATCGGGTGCTGCTATTAAGAAAAAAATTTAATTTGGAATTTATTTTTATAATTCTAATAATTTAATTGTCAGATTACACAATCAGTTTCCACTTCTCTTACAAGTCCAAATCTCTTTACTCATCAAGCTTGTATTGAGTCTTTAGAAGTGTATCACAAATAAGTCAAGTGTCTTTACTCATCAAGCTTGTATTGAGTCTCTAGAGGTTTATCGCAAATAAGTCAAGTCTTAGGACAAGGATCTGTAAATGGATACAGATCAAGGTAGAAAATTAGATTCCTATTCACTTTTAATTTTCCTGTCCACATATCAAGAAATGAAAGTTTTGTAACTAATTACAGATCTCTTCCCTCATGGTCAGCGACAAATCTCCCTCATCATAGTGGTAAATAGCGCCATCAACTGAAGATATTCATCAGCTCCATCCATCAGGCACTTGTCAACAACCTGGAAATAACAAACAGTTATAAATTACACAGAAATAATATTTGTCAACAACCTGTAAATAAAAGACACTTGTCAACAACCTGGAAATAACAGACAGTCATAAATTACACAGATACAATACTTGTCAACAACACAGAAATAATAGACACTTGTCACAAACCTGGAAAAAACAGACACTTGTCAACAACCTGGAAATAACAGACACTTGTCAACAACACAGAAATAACAGACATTTGTCAACAACCTGGAAATAACAAACACTTGTCACAACCTGGGAATAACAGACACTTGTCAACAACACAGAAATAATACTTGTCAACAATCTGGAAATAACAGACACTTGTCAACAACACAGAAAAAATAATTGTCAACAACCTGGAAATAACAGATACTTGTCAACAACCTGGAAATAACATGCACTTGTCAACATCACAGAAAAAAATAATTGTCAACAACCTGGAAATAACAGACATTTGTCAACAACCTGGAAATCACAGACACTTGTCAACAACCTAGAATTAGCAGGCACTTGTCAACAATGCAGAAACAATAATTGTCAACAACCTGAAATTAACATTCTTGTCAACCTAGAAAAAAAAAGTCCCTTGTCAACAACCCGGAAATAACTAACACTTGTCAACCTGGAAGTAACAGACTCTTGCCAACAATGCAGAAATAACAGACACTTGTCAACAATCTGGAAATAATAATTATTGTCAACAACCTTGATATTACAGAAACTTGTCAATCCAGATGTAACAGACACTTGGTAACATAACATCTGTATTGAAGATTCACATATCCAGTGTTTAATTCCATATGCCTAATTCTTCAAAACATAAATGTAGTCATTAATATTAAAGAAAACTTTATAAACTTACAGCGAGTTTCTCACATGTTACAGACTTCTGTTGATCACTGAGGTCTTCTCGTTGTACAATCTTGTCGTGAAGCTGAGTGATTATCTGGGCCGCTGAATGTCCTTCATATATCATCTCCTGAAAATATATACAATGTCATAAGAACAGAACTCTGTATCAAGTTCTATAAATGAATAAATATTTCTGTTCTGGTAGTGTGCATCCCTGGATGGATCATCCATGCAAAAAAAGGTCACCAGAAAGCAGTTACTTGGGAATGACCTGCTCCAAATATTGAACTTGGTCATTCATCTAGAAAATGAGTATCAGATCCAGAATCTAAAACCTATCTGTTCGTGTTTTCTTATGCATCGTCCATGCAAGTTTGGTAATCACTGGGTTTGTAATTAATTGTAAATGGATCTGCTTCAAAAACTTAATCCTCCTCAATATGACATCCAGAAACAGGGGTCAGATCCAGCATTCAAAACAAGTCTGATAGTATCCATATATGCATCAATCAAACATGTTTTGTCACCTTGGGGCTTTAAGACATTTATCTGCCCCCAAAACTTATCCTAGTCATTCATCTCAAAAGATGTACTTCATTGTTAAGATCCGGCATCTGAAGTAGGCATTCCTAGATATATCATCCATACATATTTTTATCACCTAAAAATAATATACCTTGTTGAGAATGAACCTGTTCCAAAAATGTTAAAAATCCAAAAAATGTGGGTCAGATCCAGTATCCAAGGTTAGTCTGGTAGTGTGCATCCATTTATGAATCAACCTTGCAAGTTTGAACACAACTAGGAAAGTACTTGGGAACACACTTGTGCAAAACATTAATCTGATCATTCAAAAAATGTAGGTCAGAACCAGCATTTAAAGCATGTCTGGAAGTATGCATCTTATGATGCATCTATCTTGCATTAAGTCACCATAAGGCTTATAGTCACTTGGGAATGGATTTGGCTCAGAAAAATCTGAGGAATGATAAAACTGAAGGCCAAAGGATATAGAATGAGCTCATTCAGACATACCTGCACCATCTTTTCTAGTTTTTCATAAGAGTTGGAGTGACAAACTTTGATTAACTGGTCAATTTTATCTTCTTTAATCACCTGTAATCAAAGAAATTCATCATCAATTAAACTATTCTTTACTTAATTTTTTTCTTCACATATTTATGCAACAAAATACTTAAAAGAGCCACATCTCTTTACTTGGTCAATCTCATTCTTCAATAGCAGTATCTGAAAAATTATGGCTAAGCTATAATTGAGAAGATTTTTAAAAATTTATTTCTCTATATACACATGTAAAATTTTTATCTCCTATTGAAGCTCAACCCTACAATTTGAACTTGCGCTACCCAATGATGCTTGCACAGTAATACCCATGAAATCTGGTACACAGCTCTCTGAATCAATTTTTCAACACCCCTAGACCTTTCTCTTATCTGACTTACCTCTGCTAATTAGTAAAAGTCCCCTCCTCTTGGTTCTGATCCGATTATGCCCTGCTATTTGGTAGAACTCCCCAACTTTCCCAGCTCTACTCTGACTTACGCCTGTTATTTGCTAACCCCCTTACCTTTCCAGTCCTGACCTGACTTACCCCTGCTATTTGGTAGTGGCCCCCCCAGGCTCTGACTTGACCCTGCTATTTGTTTACTCCCTTACCTTCCCAGTCTTGACCTGACTAACCTCTGCTATTGGGTAGATCCCCTCCACCAAGCCCTGACCTGACTTATCCCTGCTATTTGGTAGAGCCCCCCCTTACTTACCCCTCTATTTGGTAGAGCCCCCCTTGACCTGACTTATCCCTGCTATTTGGTAGAGCCCCCCCCAGCCCCCCTGACTTATCCCTCTATTTGGTAGAGTCCCCCCCTGACCTGACTTATACCTGCTATTTGGTAGAGCCCCCCCCCCCCGACCTGACTTACCCCTGCTATTTGGTACAGGCCCCCCCCTGACCTGACTTACCCCTGCTATTTGGTAGATCCCCTCCACCAAGCCCTGATCTGACCTACCCTGCTATTTTGTTCACATCCTCCAGGCCCTGACTTGAATTACCCCTGCTGTTTCGTACACATCCCCCAGGCACTGACTTGACTTACCCCTGCTATTTCGTACACATCCCCCAAGGTAACCTCTTCATCCCCCTTCAGTCTGGCTGCACTCTGTAGGTAGGTGATGGCTTTCCTCATGTCTCCCTCTGAGGTATCCATCAGGGCTTGGATGGCCTAAATAAAGTTAGTGTAGGAGTCAGTAAATCAGCAGTTACAGTTGAACTTAGTACATTATCTCAAATTTCGATAAACCAGGGCCGTTCAATATTTTTTGTCCCTTATGGTTTTCATTATAAATTAGATCAGTCGATTCGGGATCTGGTCATCCATGAATGAAGATATCTTTCATTGACATTGTGTCAAAATTTGGAACAAGCCTGTGCAATCTGAAACACACACTTACATTTGCAACTGACCTACCCGAATACACTGGACATCAATTATGGGTAAAACATGAAGTCTGGAGGCACTTGAAATAAGAAGATATATTCTTGCTCGCTGTGTCATTGGTATAGAACGAAATGAAATATATGAAGAAACTGTTCGGATATATGGTGGGTCTGTTATTCCAAAAAAGACAGTTTACAGATGTGTAAGCAAGTTGAAGAGTGGTAGAACACGTGTTTCCGACAACAAACATTCAGGAAGACCACCAAGAGCAGTCACCAAAAGTAATGTTTCCAAAATCCGTGATATTCTTAAGACAGATGCACGACTTACCGTCAAAGAAATAGCAAGACGTGTAGGAATTTCAATGGGCAGTGTTTTTGCTATTTTAAAAACTAAATTAAAGTACCATAAAATTTGTGCAAGGTGGATTCCACATATTCTTACCAAAGCTCAGAAGATGGGTCATTTACAAAAGTGCCAAAAACTTTTGAAAATGTTTGAAGATATTGACACTAGGAAGCTTAGTCAGATTGTCACAGGTGATGAAACATGGGTCCATTTTTTCCAGCCAGAAAGAAAAGCAAACTAGAACTGTCCAATAGGGACAAATACCCCCGCTGGGTTTTTCAGAGTAGGTGCCAATTCAGAAATATTTTATGGATCTAGTAAGGGATGTTCACTATTGTCTAACAAAGTGCCCCGCCACAGCATGATACGCCTATCAAATATTGTTCGATAATCATAAATTGGTTAGGGTGCAAGAAAATCAAGTAACCTTGATTAACAGATTGACACAGATTTCAATGATCTAATTTCCATTTCTTATCATGTTTAAAATATTGTACATACATCTCTAAGAGACTTACAGTGTAGGGATTAATTAAAACAAATAATACATCATATAATTCTAAACTGGCTGTGTTAGAGCTTAACAAATATCCATCTGCAGCTTTAAATTGTTTATTGCATATTTTATGAAATAATGGAAATGCTACAGTCTAATAAAAAAAATCAAAATATTCTTTATACTATAAAATTCTAAGTGAGACATGACTGCAATTTGTTGTAAATATATAAAAATTGAAATGTAATTTTTTTTCAATGAACACATGTATAATTAATTTTAATTATATTATACAATACTAATTCAGTTTTAATCATACACTAAAACATCAATTTGTTGCAAATATATAAAAATTGAAATGTAATTTTTTCAATGAACACATGTATAATTAATTTTAATTATATTATACAATACTAATTCAGTTTTAATCATACACTAAAACATCAATTTGTTTTAATTACACTACACCAATTGAAAGATCTTTATCTGAACTACAGTCATCAAGAACTCTTAATTAACACAAGCAACTATAAGGCCATTTCTTTTTGCCCAACTCCCAAGAGATGAATTAAGATAATACTGCATGATGCTCTTGCCAGTTAACTCCCGACAATGAACTCATTAATTTTTCTCTAATTTGACATGCACATTTCTGCTATAAAAATTCTCCTTGACCAGTGCTTGATAATTATGCCCATGGGACAAACTGAATTCCTCTCAAATCATTAACATTTGTTACAGAATTTGCTGTAAAGTATATGATAAAAAATAAGTTTTTACTTAATTTAGCATTTTTTAATAAGGATACAACTATATTTTTACATTTTTTAGGATTATGAAATCTAAAATTTTAAAGATTTAGTTTTTTTTAAAAAATCACTTAAATTAAAGGTCACAGTGACCTTGAAATAGGTCGGGACACACCGTCTACTCAAGATGCATAAATTGTCCAAGTTTGATGATTGTAAGTCTAATAGTTTTCTAGTTATGAGCCAAACAAAATCACAAAATAAAAAAGAAACTAGATGCTGTCATGAGACAGTAATACCCGCACTAAGGTGTTTGCCTCTAAATGCACACTTCTTCATATTGGGCTTTACCACGGAAAAAGTCAATATAATTCAATAACTTACATAATACATGTATTCTTCAAATTGAGCATAATATGCTCAGGTGACCATGTAGCTGCAGATCTGCAGCGTTATGGTTTTATATATTTGTCTTTGACCATAACGCTACAGATCCCCATATGCAAAAAAGGTGCAATTTACGGCGCAATATTTTTTGCGCACTTTTGGGCAGAATTTCTCCACTTTCTAGCATTGGTCAATCAACTACCTTTCACTCCCTAATTTTAGACACATTCTGTAGTCAAAATGTACATTTTTTCCACCTCTCAGCCATTTATAGTCATCTCTACAGGCAATAAACTCGCTTGATGTGAATTTTATGCAATCTAACAAATAATTTCAATCAAGCGAGTTTATCTCGTGTAGAGACGACTATAAAAGGATTGGAGATGGATAAAATATACAGATTAGTTAAATAATGTGCCTAGAATTAGGGGGTGAAAGGTAGTAAATTGACCGATGCTTGAAAGTGGAGAAATTCTCCCCATAAGTGCGCAAAAAAATATTGCACCGTAAATTGCACCTTTTTTTGCATTACAGGATCTGTAGCTTTATGGTCAAAGACTAATATATAAAACTATAACGCTATACAGATCTGCAGCTAGTGACCATGTGACCCATGGGCCTCCATCTTATAGGTATTTCATATTCTTTATTCATTACCAGTCGGAAATTAAACAACAGAATTAAATTAATGATGTAAATTAGGTTTGATAAAGGGGGGGGGGCACATAATTGGAACTTTTAAATATATTTTATCATATAGATTAACAACAAATAATATTATTCAAATTAATGTAAAGCGTTTTTGATGAATTTTTCAAAATGTGCAAAGTTTATTTATATTTGATTAGGCAGAAACTTCTTGAAAGCTGCCATATACACAATCAATTTAGTCAACCCCGACCCCTCTCCCATCAACACACACAAACAAACACACCTTATTTGCCTGTTTTTGGAAATAGGCCTAGATGGCAAAGTTAAAATAAAACATCTTTTGTAAATGATAATTTTTCAATTTGTTCTTGCACTATACATGTATCTGAACACCTGCATCACATTGGGCTTGCGTCACGTACCCAACTTAAGTACTAGTTTTACCACTGGCATTATCATTTTAGATTTCACTGCACGTGCAGTAGGCTACTAGTGTGCATCATTGCATCTAACGTTATGTCAGTAGGAATTATTTTATTTTGTGTTTTAACTGGATTATATTTCATGAAGATAACAGTGCCTAAATAATGACAATCGGTAAGTACAAGTTTTGGTATAGATTTGGGTAAAATTGTCTGAAATGCAAACAGTTAGGTTAAGCATCGGATGACCTTTGATCCTTTAAACTTACAATAGACGAATTTTACATTCTGAAGAGTTATCCCCCGTTATCAACGATACATTCAGTTACAAGATCCAGAATTTTTTTTCTGGGAGGGAGGTGGGGGAGGGGGTTCCAGACCAGAATTAGCCTGGTTCCCTGTCCCTGTTTTGCTTTATATACTCCGCGTCACTAGGGCCAGGTGGAGTACAATGGAATCCACCTGGCTCTCCTGCCTTGGCAAGGATGAGACAGGGGACCAGGCTAGACCAGAATTTCCTGAGAAGCAAAAAAAAAAAAAAAAGAAGAAGTTATGGTTGGGTCTGTTTTCTAGGGTGGAGGGACACTTAGGGCATCCAAAGTCATTTTTATTTCGTCCAGTATATATTATAGTCCTGCAAATTCCAGGGGGGGGGGGGGGGGTGTTGAGGGGGGATCTCCCAATCCACTTCCCTGTCCCTGTAATGACAAATGATCATGTGACTCCTAAATAGTAGGAAACTTTTTCCATTTCTCTATATATAATTTTGTTTCTTGTGTTATTATGTTATGTAAATTTAATGGTATAAAGGTTATGAACCCCTAGAGGTCATCCCCACTCTCCTAATGAGCTGAAATGTTCATAATATGACTGCATTAAATTGAATAAAAGTGCATCAATGATAAGATTACTTGACATTTTATTCATGACTTTGTGTCAACCTATCTTCCTAGAATTAGGAATGAAAATCATTCAGAGACGGACCACATTAAACTATTTGTATTAACATTTTTTTTAAAAGTAAAAACAAGTAGTAGTTTGCATACATGAACATTGAACAGGGGTCTGGGAAGGGGTGAGGGGAAGGATCGAGTTAATATTTCTTTATATACGTCTTAATGGTTGAAAACTCCTAAAATGAATGTTGACCTCAAATCTAACTTGTCCTCATTATTTTTCAAGTGGTGGTGTCTCCATATGAGTGAAAAATACCTGAGAGGGATGTTTAACAACAAACAAAATGACATAAAAACACAATATTGATTTGCGTTAAGAAATATGCAGGGGATTTTTTCCATCATAAATCTTCTTCTCAAGAACAGCAAGGGCATTATTGTCCCCCATTTTGGGGAAAGGGAGGGGACATTAAATCTCATTTGTCTGTCAGTCTGTCCATCTTATTTACAGCTAGTATGTGCATCTGTCACAATAAATTTAACCTTGGTCATAACTTTTGAATAATAAGAGATTGTGCTTTCATATTTCACATGTACATTACCACAAAACTTTCTAAATATACTATGATTTTTTAACCGAAGTGAGACCTTGACCTTAAAGTTTTACCGACTTTCCAAAAAATAACATTTTAAATTGATCATTTTGAAAGAGAAAAGAAGGGGCATTCAAATTATACATGTTTATATTACATGTGAAAAGACTTTTCTAAATATATCTTGACTTTTGACTCTGTGACCTTGACCTAGAAGTTTAACCTACTTTTCAAAAATATTA